AAAAAAAAAAGACAGTTAAAAAAAATTAGCTTTGAAAGACTAATGAATTCATGGTAAAAAAGCCATGAATTCTATGTGCAGCATTCCCTTAGTGCTGGAGTTCTCCCGTTCTCATTGATCAGTAAACTTGGTCTTGGCTGGCTGTTCTTGCTGATCTTCTGGGGGAGGGGCCTGTTGCCATGGTTCCCAAATGTCTTTGACGGAGGCGGAATTGCCCCGCCCTTGTCGGTCCGGGCTAAGCAATCTGCTCGGGTTTGCTCTCGGGAGCTTTTGTTCCCTGCAAGCTTTCCGTATGGCTTTGGAGGACGAGAGTGAAAATGGCGGCCTCGCAATCTCCGCCCCTCAGTTCAGAGGAGCTGAGAACTCGGGGCCCCGCTCCTCAGTGCGCCCCCAGGGAAAAGCAGTCACTCCCGTCTCCCTGGTCTCCGGCCGCACTCCGTGCTCACCTGGCCTGTGACTGAGCATTTCTATCTCTGGCACCCGACCCCGTGTGGAGTCTCCAAACCCAGCAGATCCCTGTGGTGCACTCACGCACTGCTCTTCCCCGGGGGAGGAAGGGGAGTCGCTCTGCCGCTTGTTGGGTCCCTGCTGGAGGAGCAGTGGCCCGACTGTCACCGATCACAGTTTATGGCAACCCCGAGCTGAGAGCCCACGCCTCGGCTCCGTCTATGCAGCCGGCTTCCCCGCTCCCATACCTGGGAGCTCTGCCGCACTCAGGCACCCCCGGTCTTTCTGTGACCCCGAGGGTCCTGAGACCACACTGTCCCGGGAGGGTTCCACCCCCGCTTAGCCACTGGAGCGACGTCCCTCAGTGGAGCCGACTTCTAAAAGTTCCGATTTTGTGCTCCGCTGCTCTATCACTTGTCAGAAGTGGTGGACGGAGGCTCCCTCCCTTGCCATGTATCCTCCCAAATATCGCCTTGGATTCACTTCTCTGCACATCCTACCTTCCAGAAAGTGGTCGCTTTTCTGTTCAGAGAGTTGTTGCTATTCTTTTCTTCGATCTCCTGTTGAGTTCGTAGGTGTTCAGAATGGTTTGATCCCTATCCAGCTGAATTCCTGAGACCAGACGAAATCCAGGTCTCCTACTCCTCTGCCATCTTGCTCCCTTCCCCCCCAATATTTATTTTTTAAAGATTTATTTATTTATAAGAGAGGGAGAGAGAGAATCTCAAGCAAACTCCCTCTGAGCATGGAGCCTGATGTGGCACTCGACCCAGGGCTCGACCTTATGACCCTTGAGATCACAACCTGAGCCAAAACCAAGAGTTGGACACTTGACCAACTGTGCCACCCAGGCACCCCTGAGATAAATATTTATTAAATATCCATGTGATTCTGCCCTATTTATTTCTTCACCTAATATACTGATAAAGTTTACCTAAGTTTTTTTTACCAGTTTTAATATTTAAAATGAGCTATTTATCCATTCATAAAAAATAAAATAAAATCAGCTATTTAGATTGAGAACAAGGAAAAGAACCTCAGTTGAGTTGACATTGTTTATTATCCTGGAACCATGAAATTGAGGTGTAATTTATAAATTGAATAGCAAATTCATAGATTTATCTTTCAGAATTTCTTTTTCAGACCTTCCCCTTGCTCAGGTTCAAGAAGAGAGTGAAGAGGCTCGTTCTGCATCTTCTTTCTTGGCAGAAGTTTCTCAATATACAAATGGGTGAGTAGCAGTCCATTAGTCCAACCTATTTGAATGTTGTTTTAATAATTCCACCTTTTAGTTTCAGTTGTTTGGCAGAATAACTTTTGAACCATTTTAATTCCAGTTTTTAAAAATCAGTTGAGGGCTTTTGAAATAACCGGTACCCATTTGTTTCTGAGACTGAAACAAGTTTGGATACATCTTTACTCTTGTAAATTGTTCTGGGAACATTGGCAAAAAATGATAGAATTTTAACAAGTGGCAGCATTTAGAATTTAAATAAATGTAGAAAATAGAAAATAGGTCATCCTTTTAAAGCAATCTATACAGTTGATGCACTTTACTAAATAGAGGTTTTTTAAGACTGTTCTCTAACATATGAAATACATTGGCAGTGCAGAGGCTAAAACCAAAAGTATAATAGGAGTGCCCTGCTGAGCTCCACTTGCTACCACACTCTCTCATCTTTGTTTTCACCTTCTTTACCGTTTTTTATTTGGGTTTTCTGTTTCATTTTGTTTTTAGTTTAGGCACTGAAGGTGGGGGGGGTGGGGTTGCAGAAGAGAGAGAGAGAGAAAGAGTGTGTGTGTGTGTGTGTGTGTGTTAACTAGGCTTTATTTTTTAGAGCTGTTTTAGATTTACAGAAAAATTGAACAGAAAGTACAAAGCATTCCCGTTTACTCCCTCCCCTCACAAGTTTGTCCTGTGATTAACATCTTGCATTAGTAGATTTGTTAAAGATGACAAACCAGTATCAATACATTGTTATTAACTAAAGTCTGTAGTTTACATTAGGGTTCATTTTTGGTGTGGTAGCATTATAAGTATCATATAGAATAGTTTCATTGCCCTGTGAATCACCAATTTGAATACAGAAATCAAGAAAGTATTAATTTTTTTTAGCTAACTTAACTCCTTTGGTTAGTTATTGATAAATATATCTGATTCACATTTCATCATAAGGGTAAGGAAAATGAAGATAATAGTTATTTGCTTTAAAAATCTACATGGTAAAAGATGCAAGATCTGTGGTTTTCTTTAGGAAACTTAGAAGATTTAAAGACAGAAGCTACTGCCAGTTAAATATTTTGTGTTAAATGGATAAAAAATATTTAAATATTTAGCTATGTTTTTAAAGGGGGATGTGTTTAGAGTTTTAGTCTGATCAGTATTCTGTTCTATTCTGGAATTATTTCCCCCCAGCTGCATTGGATGTGGTGTTCCTGGCTGGTATTTGTGGGTCTCATTGAAGAATGGCATCACCCCTTACCTTCGCTGTGCTGCATTGTTTTTCCACTATTTACTTGGAGTAACTCCACCTGAAGAACTGCTTACCAGTAAGTAGGAAAATGAAATCTCAGAGTAGCAAATAAGGGAATTTTTTTTTCCTTATCTTCAGCCTCAAAAATATAAGGTGGGGACAGGCAAGAACCACTTCTCTATTCCGTCTTTTTCATCAGCGTTCACTCCCGACATGTGTGCCTCTGCCTCGGTATAGGTTAAAGGTGAGACCAAAAATGAGATTAGCCTCATAAATATGCAAAACCTACTCATGGCTCCTATCTATGTATAGTTTATGTACTTGAGCTTATAAAATGTCTGCACACAGAATATAACTGAAAGGATATGCAGAAAATTAGAAACATTGGTTACCTTTAGGGAAGAGAATGTTTTGGCTAAGTAGGAGGAAAACTTTATTGTATACTCTGTTATTTGAATTTTGAACATATGACTATTACAAAAGAACTAAAATCCTGCTAGGACAGGCCTGTTGGAACAAACCCAGGACACATATATCTGAGTAACAATCATTTCCTTTCTTCTTTACTTGCCTTAAATCTAGATCAAAGTAGACAAGGCTTCCTTGTGGCTTTGTATGGGTAAAAATCTGAACGTTTGTATGATTTTGGAAGCGTCACCAAAATTGTTCAGAGAGTCTTGCTTTTGTCCTTTGAGATTAAGCTGAACGGGTCAGCTTTACTGGCTATCACCTTTTTTATCTTGAACTTAGTTCAGTAGGGCTTATTTGATCTAGGTTTGTTCTGATTCTATATACAGGCATACCTTGTTTTATTGTGCATCACTTTATTGTGCTTTGCAGATACTGTGTTTTTTACAGATTGGAAGTTTGTGGCAAGCCTGTGGCAAGCAAGTCTGTCAGCACCATTTTTCCAACAGCATTTGCTCACTTCATGTCTGTGTCACATTTTGATTATTCTTGCAATATTTCAAATTTTTTCATTATTACATTTATTAGGGTGATCTGTGGTGATTGATTATGACTGGCTGAAAGCTCAGATGATGGTTAGCATTTTTTTAGCAGTTTTTTTAATTAAGGTCTGTACATATTTGTTTTAGACCTAATGCTCTTGCACACTAAATAGACTACAGTCTAGGGGCACCTGGATAGCTCAGTCATTAAGTATCTGCCTTCGGCTCAGGTCATGATCCCAGGGTCCTGGGATCGAGCCCCACATCATCCTGCTCCGCAGGAAGCCTGCTTCTCCCTCCCCCTCTACCCCTGCTTGTGTTCCCTTTCTCACTGTGTCTCTCTCTGTTAAATAAATAAATAAAAATCTTTAAAAAAAAAAAAAGATTACGGTCTAGTAGAAACATAACTTTAATATGCCCTGGGAAACCAGAAATTCACTTGACTTGCTTCACTCTGATACTAGCTTTATTGTGGCAGTCTGGAACTGAACCCGCAGTTATCTCCACAGTATGCCTATAAATGGGGGGCTACTTTCCAAGTAGTTGCCTGTACAGATGTGTTGTTCGCATTTTTAGAAAATCATGTATTAATTTATCTAGTTGGTGCTGTAATACAACAGTGAGTAAGATTAAGTCTTTTACTGGGAGGAGACTAAATGTATACAAACAGATAAATGTACATAATATAACGTCAAGTGGTGATAAGTGCTACCAAGAAAAACAAAGCAGGTCATGGGGATGGAGAGTGCTGGGCTGGAGTAATACTTTTAGTAGATAGTCATAGAAGACTTCTCTTTGAGCACACTGAGCAAAAAAAAAAAAAAAGATGTTGAAATAAAGATGGGGTTGAACTGGACAGAGAGTTGAAGGAAGAGTATTCCTAAGCAGAAGGAACACTAAATGCAAAGGCTTTGCTTGACATCATCAAAGAATAGTAAAGAGATGAGTGTAGCTGAAGCATAATGAGCAGGACAAGGGTGGTAGGAGATGAGGTTCAAGAGGCAGCCAGGGGCAGATCATGTAGGGCCTTTATGTGTTTTGATAAGGACTTTGTGTTTTGTCCCTTTTGGTGGTGTGGAGAAACCTCATCAGGAGAATGAATGAATCAGATTTGAAAGAATCACTGTGTCTTATTTGTCACCCACTTTTATAGAGTATAGAAATGAACATAAGCAATGAAGAAATTCTATTCACAGTTTGACCAGATAAGAATAATGTGCTTATTAAATGTATTTTTATTCTCTTGCAGATCCTGCAGAAGGAGAGTACAGTGCACTCTGTAGCTATCTATCTTTACCCACAAATTTGTTCCTGCTTTTTCAGGAATATTGGGATACTGTAAGACCCCTCCTCCAGAGGTACTGTGAGGGCAAAATATCCTTGTTGGGTCATTATACAGTTTGGAAATTTTAAATTAAAATTATTTGCTAAGCTTTTAGATTGATTAGACTTATTGAAGTGGGTAACAAAAATATAGGAGATTCCTAATTCACACACTCAACGAATTAGAAATAAGTCCAGCAGCCATGGGCAGCTGGACTTTGCACTTGTCCCACCATGATTACCATTCCTTGTACTACTCTTTCCTGCAGCTGCCATTTCTTGCCAGTATCCACCATTGACCCCAGCCCCTGGGCTCTAATAATACCACAATTTCCTTTTGTTCCTCCAGCCTGGGAGAGGTGGTGGCTTCCTGTTATTGGCTAATCTTTGGGTCGCCTTGCCTTTTTCTCTCCTGATTGGCTTTGCAGCCCTTCTGTCACCTTTATTACCAATTCCTGGTATTAAATTCCATCTTCAGAATGGTTTCTGTTTTTCTAGCTAGACCTTGATTGATTAACCCTTTAAAAAAGAGGGGCGCCTGAGTGGCTCAGTTGGTTAAGCATCTGCCTTCGGCTTAGGTCATGATCTTGGGGTCCTGGGATCAAGCCCTGCATCGGGCTCCCTGCTCAGCGGGGAGTCTGCTTCTCCCTCTTCTCCCTGCCTGTGTGCTCTCTCGCTATCTCTGTGTCCTCAAATAAATAAATAAAATCTTAAAATAAATAAAAATAAAAAGATGAATAAAAGAAAGGGGGAAAATAAATAGGCAGACACAAAAACGAAGGGAAGAAAAGCAGAGGGGTAAGATGTGAGAGAGAAGTCTAGCTGAGGGAACATGGAAAGAAAGGACAGAAAGATTTGGAGCGGGTGGCTCACTGATGAACACTGTGCTGAAGTTGTGATGACCTGTTTGCTTTTCTCTTGGCTCCCCCATATAGGTGGTGTGCAGATCCTGCGTTGCTACACTGTTTGAAGCAGAAGAACACCATAGTCAGGTTGGTTTTACTTCTCAATCCTCCTCTCCCAACCATCTACAGGCTGTGTTTCCAAAAGTAGTTGGTTTGTGTAACATGCTTTCCAGTCTGTCTTCTTCATTCTCACTCAGTACATTGTTTCCTACGTTTCTGTTAAGTCTTTCCCGGAAATTGGATTCCTCCTACAATTGATTTTTTTTCTTGGAGTGGCTATCCTTTCCCTCTTAAATTGTTTGACCCCACCAGCTCCTCTTCCTTAAGCTCGTACATGCTTATTAAAAGGCACCAGAGGAGATGGCATCTTGGAGCTGCCAGTTTATTAAAATCAGAAAGTAGTAACAGTATTCCTATACACCACTTTTTTCCTTTTGAGAATAGAGTAAGATATAAATAGAACCAGTCCCTCTTCCCCTTCCCTTCCGATCTGTATACTTAGAGATGACCCAACAAAACTGTTCTTCAGCCCTCCTATCTCCCTTATATCTCAATCAAAATCCACCTCTTCCTCAAAGACCAATTCAAATGTGACCTCCTCCTGCAAGTTTGCCCTAGTAATATCCTCTCAGCTGTGTGCGTGCATGTGTGCCTGCCAGCACCACAAAGCACTAAACAGTAAACTCACCAGGGACCAGACTGCATGCTTATTTTCTTTGTATCCTCTCCTGGGCCTGCTTTCTGTTATGTATGTGTCTAATTTTTATTCCAGTTGAAGTGCATCAGTAAACAAGCCGGGCGATTGACCCCTCAACCTTAAATGCTAACATCAGTACCATTTTTCCATGGCTAAAGCAAACATTGTGACACAATGTGCATTTGCCACCTTCTCTTTTCATCTTTCTTACCCCTTGAACTTCCTTCCCCTTTACTGTAAATGTACATCTGCTACCTACTCCTTAACCCAACTTTAGTGATTTAGAGATTATAGATCCGGCTTTGATAACTTAGATACAGTAGTATTCACATCACCAAGAAAAGAAAGAGAGAAAGGTTTAAAAGATGAGTACTTATTTTAAAACTGTTCATCTCACACAGTTTTTCCTTTATTTCAGTTCATTGTGTGCCTTTTAGAGAACTACTATTTCCTCAGCATGGTGCTAAAATACTTTGGGGAGTTAAAAGACCTAACACATACAGCTTTTTGGTCATGGGTAATTTACAACCTAATTATGTACATAAAGTAAAGACATAAAATAGTATATGGAATATACTGTTAATGCTATATAAATTTAAAGCGTAAAAGATTTTTATTGATGCAAAGTTAGTCTTAGAGGAGATAATTTTTAGCTGAACTTAGAAGGAATTATAGAATTTAGGTTGATTGGGGGGCGCCTGAGTGGCTCAGTCTGTTAAGCATCTGCGTTTGGCTTGGGTCATGATCTTGGGGTCCTGGGATCAAGCCCTGCATCAGGCTCTCCCTGCTCAGCAGCAAGTCTGCTTCTCCCTCTGCCTCTGTGATCTCTCTTGCTTTCACTCTCTCTCAAATAAAAAAATAATAATAATAATTTAAAAAAAGAATTTAAGTTAATTGGAGTTTGAGGATAGAATTTCCACATGATTGAGAATGCGTTCCCAGGGCATGCATGCAAGGCTTTTATTGTATCTGTATTGTGTGGTAAGAATGAATAATAATATTTGCAAATATGTTTTCAAGTACTAAGTGTATTATGTTCCACTTCAATATCTTATTGAGTCTTCAACAGCTGTGAGGTTCCTCCATACTATTATTTATATTTAACATTTCTTAAATCAGCATGAGTCTTTATATTTCTCTCTCCCCACCATCTCAAAAATGTGTTATTAAATTGATGGTATGCCTTATGGCTGAGAAAGTATAATATATCCATCCTCTATTTACAGACCAGGAAATACAAGCTAAGGTTCAGTGACTTGTCAGATACCAGAGAATTTAGGATTTGTAGCGAGGTCTGTCTGATTTCAAAGCCTTTGTTCTTTATATTACCTTCCTAGCCATCATGGAAATCTAGCTAGAACAATTTAGTCTTAGGAAATAGTGGGAGTTGAGTTGGAAAGGAAACCAGATGATGAAAGATTTGAAATTCTAGGCTGAGAAACTTGGATTTAGTGTAGTCAACAGGAGGAATTACTGTGGGTTTCAAGTATGGATCCTTTTGTTATTTTTAAAATACTCTTTACTTGGTCAATTTTTGACATGGGCTTATTTACTCAGAAGTAAAATTGTTTTTTAAATTACATTTCTAGATACCCTAGAAAAAGAAATAGTTTGATAGAGCTTCCTGATGACTATAGCTGTCTCCTAAATCAAGCTTCTCATTTCAGGTAAGAAGAAATATATTTCTAAAAAATTTTTAAGCTTGCAATTGGTATGCACCACCACTAGTAGACTTTTTTAAAGTGACCACTGAGCATCCTTTACAACAGTGATTGTCAGTTTCTTTCTTATCATTGAGGTGAGAACCATAAAACAAACAATGATGATAAAGTGTACAATTCAGTGCTATTTAGTGTATTCACAGTGTTGTGCAACCACCACCTTCTCTGGTTTCAAAACTTTTTCACCATGCCAGAGAAACACCTTGTATCCACTAAGTAATCGCTCCCCATTTCCCTCTTTCCTGATCCCCTGGTAACCAATAATCTGCTTCCTGTCTCTGTGGATCTGCCTACTCTGGATATATCCTATAAAAGGAGTCATATAACTTATGACCTTTTGTGTCTGGCTTCTTTCACTTAGTATAGCTTTTGAGGTCATCCAAAGTTGTAGCATGTATTCATACCTTTGTTGGCTAAGTAGTATTCCACTGCAGGGATGCTTGGCTGGCTTAGTCGGTGGATCATGCGGCTCTTGATCCTTGGGTTATGAGTTTGAGCCCCATGTTAGGTGTAGAGATTACTTAAAAATAAAATCTTAAAAATAACAATAATAATATTCCATTGTATGTATATACCAGAGTTTGTTTATCCATTTATCTATTGATGAGCATTTAAACATCTTTTCATGTGCTTCTTGGACATTTGTATATGTTCTTTGGAGAAATGTCTGTTCAAGTCCTTTGTCCATCTTGTAATTGGACTGTCTGTTTTGTTGTTGAGTTGTAAGAGTTCTTTATATTGAAGGGGAGGAAAGAGGGTCAGAGTGTCCTTTTTGCACCTGCTGTTTCTTAAGTAACTTTAATTCAAAATATTCAGTATGCCAAAGTGGCATATTTTGGGGTGGCCTCTTCTGTTCTCTTTCAGTATATTCTGGATATTCAGCCCTTATCAGATTTTTATTTGGCAAATATTTTCTCCCATTCTATAGGTTGTGTTTTCATATTCTTCATAATGTTTTCACTACATAAAAGTTCATTTTATCTATTTTTTTGTTTGTTTCTTGTGCTTTTGGTGTCAAAACTAAGACTTCATTGCCAAATCTGAGGTCATGAAGATTTACCCCTTTGTTTTCTTTCAATAGTTTTGTAGTTTTAGCTCTATATTTAGACTGTGGATTTGTTTTTTAAGATTTTATGTATTTATTAGAAAGAGAGAGCACAAGCAGGGGTAGCGGCGGAGGGAGAAAGAAGCAGGCTCCCCGCTGAGCAGGGAGCCTGATGTGGGCTCGATTCCAGGACCCTGAGGCGAAGGCAGAGGCTTAACCGACGGAGCCACCCAGGCACCCCTACACTGTGGATTTATTTTGAGTAATTTTTGGAATGAGACGGGAGGTCCAACTTCATTCTTTCTTTCATGTGGTTTACAGTTATCCCAGCACCATTTTTTAAAAGACTTTGTTCCCTCATTGGATAATCTCAGCACCCACATTGAAAATCAGTTGGTCATAGATGTTTGGGTTTCTTTCTAAAGTCTATTCTATTGGTCTATATGTCTATCCTTATGCTAATACCACACTTTTAAATTACCATAGCTTTGTAGTAAGTTTTGAAATTATAACGTGTCAGCCTTCCAACTTTTTCAGTGTTGCTTTGTGAATAGGCCATACTTTTCTGCTTCTTTGTAAGCTTTGTTAGTTTTGTTTAGAATTGGACATTTTGATTATTGTAGTAGCTGTGTAAATCAGATTCTACCCCCTTCCCAAGAATTGCTACCGTTGCTTCATAAAGGCTGCAGGTGTCTCTTCAGTGACTTTTCCAAACTATTTTTTGCAAAGACTGTATTTCTTATTGTGTGTTCACCAAAGTCTCTGTTCCATTATCTCTGCAGTCAGCCAGTGAACTGACAGAGATTTCCTTAAATTTCTGGATCCAGTAAGAAAAGTGAAGAGAAGAAAAAAATATAAAGAATATTCTGTCTCTTTAAATTCCCTCTACCATCACTGCCAAGAAAGTCACTTCAGCCCATAGGGGTTGAAACAATGGCCAGTCTCTGCATCAGCCCTTCAGTGAGCTGCCAGGCAGAACTAAACACACAACCATGATTTTTGAGGACAACGTCTCTATTACCCATCCTGGCACCAGGAAGCCACCACCCCCATAGCTACCTGCTATAGGGCTGGGGGATAGGAGCTGGTAACCACTACACAGAAAGCCAAAATTCATGGAAATTTACCAGCCTCTTCGTTAAGCACTGCTGTGGATGCTGCAAGTATTCACCTAGATTCCAAATTCCAAAATAGTTGCTTCAGACAGTTCTTGCCAGATCAGCAGTTGTATTGGTAAAGGAAACAATTCCTGGAGCTCATAACTCTACCATCTTATAGGATATCTCCCCCTCAACTTTTTTTAAAGCTACAGGAGCCTTTTTTTTTTCTTTTAGCATTCTAAGAATCATCATTTATTCATGTATCTTTAAACAGTGTTTTACGTGTAGAATTGTGGTCAGTACATCCATCCACTGAAATAACACTGTTCTCAACTTCATAAACAAGTAGTTCACTTAGAAATATCTTTTATACATGTGTCTTTAGCACTGTTTTATGTACATTACAGTGAGGTCACCATATCCTCACTGAAATAACACTGAAGAACCCTTTTTTCCCAAGCAAAATCTTAATGACAGTAAAACAGGTAATAGCATTGTGGCTCAAGTTTAAGCCTGGATATTAGAGTAGTACACCTCCTTAGCCTTTTCTGATACCGTGTTCCCCCCTACCTCAATCAAATTAAACACCACACTAAAGCAGTGTTTCTCAGACTTTCTTTCATCTTCCTCTTCCCTTTCACTGATTACTTTCAAATAAAAAAAAAATCTGGATGATGAAGACTAATAAGAAGTACAATAAACAAGTTACATTATAGTCATTACTAATATCATGTATGAATTACCTATTAGTTGCTTTTGTAAGAAAACAGCATGAGCTTAAACACATGATTCTATATGATAAAGTAATGTCCTATAAAGTTAACAGTTTACACTTACCTTGCTATAATATAAGTTATTCAAATAACATAAATTCATGAGCTGTACACCACCAATATAATGTCCCTGAATGGAGAAATTATATTCATACCCACCTTAGCCATTGGTGTGTGAATATTTCATATTTGAATCAAAATGCATCATGTCTTAAAAATAATAGGCTAAAATTACTATTGATGCACTTATGTATCCTTGACACTGAGGTGGCATCACACCACCACCCATAGAAAATCAGATTAATAATGATGACAGAAATTAGCAGTAACTTGTAATTAAAAGGCAAGAATCTGGGGCGCCTGGGTGGCTCAGTTGTTAAGCGTCTGCCTTCGGCTCAGGTCATGATCCCCGGGTCCTGGGATTGAGCCCCGCTTCAGGCTCCCTGCTCCGCGGGAAACCTGCTTCTCCCTCTCCCACTTCCCCTGCTTGTGTTCCCTCTCTCGCTGTGTCTCTCTCTGTCAAATAAATAAAATCTTTAAAAATAAATAAAAAAATAAAAGGCAAGAATCTCAGCAGTCTGAAAATCAAAACCTATTCAAGACTTCATTGATGATATACTGGTAATACAGCATCTCTTCCCCAAATTGCAGGAATTCCAAAGCTCAGTTAGGAGTTTTGTAATATTAAGTAAGCTTTGTACAGCAGCCACACTTCTTAATAAACTTAATTAGAGCTCTCAGAAAACATAAATAACTCTTAAATTTTGTTTTAAGTGTACCAGTTAGTAATTCTAAGGAACTGCCTTGGCGTACAAAGTGACTATTGTAATCCTTAGTCATATGTTAAATAACTTGCTGTCATTTGAAGGGGCAAAGAAAGGGATTGCAGTTTATCATCATTTTGAGGGTTTGAAGAGCCCTTATGTGGCCCATTTTGAGAATCACTGCCCTACAGAATGACTAAGGAAATTCTCCTATTCTGTTATAACCATTGCTTTGAACCCTGAAGCCAGGGGAGTTTAACGCGCCCAGCAGGGGCTTGGGCAGCTCATACTCCCGCCTCTGTTACTAGATAGAATTGGTCTTGGTGTTAGTTCCCTTGCTGTTTGTCCCATGCAGGTTAAGTTCAGCCACCTAAAGAAATGGCTGAGCCATTTACCTCGCAGCCCTTAAAACGTGAGCTAGATGGGGGCGCCTGGGTGGCTCAGTGGTTAAGCGTCTGCCTTCAGCTCAGGTCATGATCCCAGGGTCCTGGGATCGAGCCCTGCATCGGGCTCCCTGCTCATGGGAAGCCTGCTTCTCCTCTCCCACTCCCCCTGCTTGTGTTCCCTCTCTTGCTATGTCTCTGTCAAATAAATAAATAAAATCTTTAAAAAAAAAACATGAGCTAGATGCTTTCAGAGATTGTATCCAGCTCTGAATTCCATGATTCTCCTAATCTTAGGGCTGTACTGCAATCCCAGTGAATAGATGTTATCTTCCCAGCATTAAAGAGTATCACTGTTGGCTCTTAGGAAGATCTGAGAAGAGTGTTAGTCATTAATCACAGTGAAGAGCCCCTTGGATGATATTACTACGTACTGGTTTCAAGTAAAGTGAAAATAAATCTTATGATCTCTTCCAGTTTTATTGTCACCACCAGTTTCCATTAAGACTGAGCCATTTCTACTGTAGGAGGGTAAGCTGCCCAGTTACTATACTTTAGGTATCACCTCTATTTTCCTCTATAGGATATTAGTGACTAGGACTCAGCCATCCTGCATGAATAGTGAAAGGTTTTGGCTTTATCCAAAAAGAGCTAAAATTATGTTCTTCCCCCTGGAAGTGAAAATAGCCTCATCTCCAGGAGATAGGCGTGGAAAACCTATGCACAGAGCCCTTCTGCTCCTATGTGGACGGTGGTTTTCTTATCTTACCTGAGAAACAAGGAATCAGAGAATAAACCATTAATGCCTTACTGGAGATGGACATTCTTTTGGTGCTCTTTCTTCTGACCCCATTATAAGCCACATTGGATCTCAACTTAGTGGTTGCATTTATTTATTACTCCCCAAATAAAGGAATTCTTGATGTTTCTTATATGTCCATTATAAGGCAGAGAGAGGAGTGTAGAAAGCTTCTTTTTAAAAAGATAGCCACTATTGCTTTATTTCAGAGAATGAGCAAGGCTGTAGCATACTACTGTGTAAAATGGTACATCTCAGTGTACTAGTTGGTTCAATTCAAGCAAGTCAATTCTGTCACTTTATCCTTCCTAAAGACTTGCTTTGTTTCCCAGATAGAGGTGTATGAACTCTAAGACTACAGTCTCTCATTTCAACCCTAAAGATCTCAATACTTAAAATGGACAGGAAATGTGTCTGAACCCTTACTGCACATTTGTGATTTAAAAAAAAAAAATACACCTAACAAGTTCATATTCCTCTAATATTGAAGACTTTAAGCTTAACTAAACCAATCCAGAGGAGGTAGTTGACTATAAATTGGTCATCTCAGATGAAGACTAGATTCTATCAAAGTATCTCAATCTCAAGGCATATTTAATTGCCAAACTATGGGAATTATCAGGACACTATATATTTAATAATACGTTTTCTTCCTTGGATTAATCAGGAGATTTTTTTTGTTAAGTCCTTATTAAAGAGGAATGATCTAATTAAATGTTTTCTTGTGTTTTGGGCTGCCTGGGTGGCTCAGTTCATTAGGCATCCAACTCTTGATTTCAGCTCAGGTCATGATCTCGGGGTTGTGAGATGGGGCCCTGCATCGGGCTCTGCGATAGGCATGGAGCCTGCGTGGGATTCTCTCTTTCTCTCTCCCTCTCTGAATGAATGAATGAATGCATGAATGAATGAATGAATGAATTTCTTGTGTTTTAAGAGCTTTCTTTGCTGCAAAGCAGCCAGTGATGAACACAATTCATTGCTAACTGGATATATCAATGCTTTTTATTGTTTCTCCACCATACTGAATGTTTTCTTCCCCTTTGAGGTGCCCACGGTCTGCAGATGATGAGCGAAAGCACCCTGTCCTCTGTCTTTTCTGTGGAGCCATACTGTGTTCTCAGAACATTTGCTGCCAAGAAATTGTGAATGGGGAAGAGGTTGGAGCTTGCATTTTTCATGCACTTCACTGTGGAGCTGGAGTCTGCATTTTCTTAAAGTGAGTATTGAGTGTTCTGGAAGCTTCATAATGAACTTAAGGAATCTGGATCCAATCTGGAGGCTATTATGGTAGGATACTGTGTTGATAGGAAATGGTCTATCAGAAGTTAGAGTATAGACTGGTTATTCACATGAAATTGCATTTGAGAAGATACTACAGAATTACAGAATAAGTTTTTTTAAAAAAAGGATTCTGTTCACATTTTAATTATTTGTGGTATATTTTAAGCATGATAGAGTTTGTATTAATTACTCTGGTGTTGTATAACACTCAGGTGTCGTGAAAGGGCTTGGAGTCTTAACACTTATATTTAAAAAGTATCTATACAAAGTTGTCCTTTGACTATGTTCATTTTCTTCATTTCCTCTATCAAGCAACCATTGTTTTCCCTGGTCTCTCAGCAAAAGGCTGAGAGTGGAACAATATGTTTATGAAAGAAGAGTACAAGTTCCCTGAGAGAAATAGGATTCAAAGTGGAGACGTGTGCTTTTTCTTTCCATTCTCCCCATGTAACGTAGTTTCTGTTTATGTAAGCCCAAATATCTCACTAACTATGGAATATATAATTATTGCTTGTAGGCATCTGTTGGAACAATGGGAATGAATTCATAGAAGCCACACCCAAACACCTATTTTCTTCTTTTAGGAAATTTACAGCATATAAACCCACTACCTATTCCAACTATTTATTTTATGTTACTCGGTGGTACTTAACCCTTCTGTACACATGCACACAAACATTCTTTTTATAGCTTCATTTCTAGGCGATAAGAGTCCCAAGTAACTTCACAGTGGCAGTGGTTCTTCATAATCTGCACTGTTAGAGGCTGGCTCTAACCGGAAATGGCTTGACACTTCCTAGCTGACCTTCTTTCTGGCCCAGAGTTATCAGAACAAGAGATGTTGTTGCCCTTCTGTTAAGCTCCCTCCCCACTCTAGGTTGTAGGTCAGGAAACAACAGAAACAACCCCGGCCATCATTTTCCAGGGTTATCTTTGGCTCAAGTAGGACAGGTTCCTTCCTCTCTTCAATATATTCAGTCAGTATTAATGGTCCCATTTCCCTAAATCCATTGATCCTTTCCCATAACTTCAATAAAAATAGCAGTGGTCACTGTCTTTTATTTATCAAAATACAATTTAGTCTATTTGTCTATGTTTATTGTCTTTATACTGAATTTGTAACAGATATTGGTCATGTCTTTTCTCTAGATTAACTTTGATGCAGTGCCTATCATTTGCATACATGCACTTAATCATATTTCCTGTTACTGTTTTGTCCTTCAGAATCCGAGAATGCAGAGTAGTCCTGGTTGAAGGTAAAGCCAGAGGCTGTGCCTATCCAGCCCCTTACTTGGATGAATATGGAGAAACAGACCCTGGCCTGAAGTAAGATTGGTTTGTTTTTCATTTTAGTCACATTATTGTACATGGACGGTAACAGTTTTTTAAACACAGAAACTAATGCTAAATATTGAGAGATATTTTTAAATAGGTGCAAATTAAAAATATTAAGGATGATACCATCCTAAATGTAGCACATAATTTTGAACAACTTTGTGCTTCTCCAGAATGTGAGGGTAATACTTCCCTAAAATGAAAGATACAAGCCATCCAAATGTTTGAATGTTATGTTATTTTTAATCAGCCTTTCTTCAGAATTACTTAGAAAGCTTAAGTATGGAGGTAGTCTTTGGATTAAGGGAGAAAATAGCTGAATGGTGCTTTGTTAATGACTGAGGATAAGATCTGGGTTGTTCCAGAAAGGAAAGAAGAAGCAGAATTTTTTACTTAATTAGGCAACTTGAAAATACCCAGCCAGCTGAGACACTTGAGTGCCTCCAGAATGAGACTCTCACAGTTCTCCATAATTGCAGCAGCCAAACTTTAGTCATTTCGGGTTAGCTGATCTACAGTGTTACAGACTGTACAACCTTAGGGTTGATGTGGAATAGTTTTGTTTAAATATTTGCTAATCACCAGCAAATTTGTTATGTCACGAGGACAACAATAAGCAAATATTTCTGAGCATCAGAATATAATTTGAGGGCTTAGTGTTATACCTCAGACTTAATCTCTACTATACAAAGACCAGAAATCAAAGCTAAATAAACTGTATGAGGCCAAAAGCCATTAAAGCCCCATCAGACTACCCAAAAAAAGAATAGAGCTGCTTCATGTTATAAACCTCACATTCAAACGGGGTCTCATAATGCCTATGATATACTTTGCCTATTTTCTGAATAATCAAGGAGTAAATTTCTGCTTCATCACCTAAATAATCTATTAAGTTCATGGTGATTAGTGGTGAAGGGAGAATATCCCTTTTAAAACTCTGTCCTGGTGATTCCTCCCAGCTCTAAGAACATCCCAAGAGTGTGAACTAATTTAGGCAATAAAGATGTAGCAGTTATTTGATTTGAACTTACGTGTCGGGTTTTTTTGTTTTGTTTGTTTTTTTTCCTGAAGGAGGGGCAACCCCCTTCATTTATCTCGTGAGCGGTACCGGAAGCTCCATTTGGTGTGGCAGCAACACTGCATTATAGAAGAGATTGCTAGGAGCCAGGAAACTAATCAGATGTTATTTGGATTCAACTGGCAATTATTGTGAGCTTCAACTCTGCCTTGGGACAATCACAAATGAAGACAGTAATGAAGACTGATTCAAAATTATGGAGATCTTTCTGAGGGCTGGGGAGGGGTTGGAGGGTCTTTTGCTCCATGTCCAGATTCACATACATCAATAAAATATTCCTTAACGGAGTATTGCTTTCAATTAGTGAAAATATGCTTAAAGGAGAAAAAGGACATTGATTAATCTGTTTTATGTTCCAGAACACTAAAAAATGCTTCTTTACCCCAAGTCTGATTCTGCTATCTCCAGAAAACTCATTTCCCTTCATAATCTGTCCCACTTCATTTCATTTCATTCACCTGGTAAATGAAGTCACATTAAGCAGTTGTGGACATTTTTATATGTTGGTTAACTCTTCTACAGTTTTGTATTTGGTATTTCCCACACACACCCAGGTTTAGTTTAGCTGACGTTGGAACACTGTGGAACACTAATCTGTGGTAGTCTTCCTTGCAGCTAAACAGGAATTGCAGAAACTGTGCAGTGTACTTGAATTGAGAAAGTTTCCAAAAGAGTAAATTTTTTTTATTATTTCTCTTTTAAGGAAATACCCCTAATGTGCCACTTACTGTTTCAGCCAGAAATTAAACAAATCTTTCTCTGGGCAAAGTTGCCATTTCTAAGGTAAATTTCTGCTAGTGTGGAAAAGCTTTTTTCGCACTGTAGACCTCAAGAACAGGATAGGGTAGGATAATGTATTCATTTTTCATCCCTCATGGGCCAAAGAAACTGTAGTCCTCACCTCTTACCACAAATAGCTTTGCTGAGGTTTGAAATTATACTTTCTATTTTCCAAAGGCAAATTTCTAAAATGAGTTCACTTATCTCTTGTTTGTGGCACCATCCTATTTGACTCTTAAAAACCTGATGCAGTTCTGAGATAAGCTATCTCTAGAATGAGGATAAGAAAATTCCCCCAATAAATGGAGCATGGCAGCTGTCAATTAAGAACAATCAGACTGAAGCCAATTCTGTAACTTTCCATGTCTTCGTAAAAGATAAATCCTTCAGTTGTTACCTGTGTGCAACCTTTTCATAAACTCTGGTTTTATGACTAGTACAGACAACCAAAAAAGCCATGTGATCAGTGGTCATGTGTCCTGTTATAATATGCTGTGGTTGAGCCATCTTGTTTATAAATAATAGAGCTCTCCCAAATCTGTGCATAGACTTCTTGATTTTTGGCTTTACCTTTTTATATCGAGAACTTGTGATATAAACAGCAGACAGAAAATAAATTGAAAACCTTCCATTTTAGCTTCTCTTGTCTCTGGAGTAATGTTAGGAATTTGAAAGATGCATTCAAAGACCATCCGATTTTGCCTTTGGTGACTATCATCCTATATGTGTGTGAATGTTTTCCTATCTTCTTTTTGCTCAGCAAAGGCAAACAAATAAAAATACATTTGCAAAGCGATGATGCACATTTGGGGTTAGATTTTTTGGTATTTTTATGTAAAGTAAAGAAAAGGTGGGCTTTGCAGTAAAGGATTGGCATGAACAGGCATCAAAATCACAATCATGATTATCTACTTGAATAATTATTGTTCAGAAGGTATCAGGAAACAGATAAAATTCCACTGAACAATTTGTAACAAGTGATGAGTGAGGATCAGAAAATTCAGTATTCAGCTTGTCCAATTTACCAGTATGATTAAATGATTAGAACATCTCCCTTTATTTCTGATAGAAATAATGGGTGGATTGTCTGGGAAATCTGAGCCAGAAAAGGCAACAGAAGATGCTGACTTCTGCCCTGACTGGCCCTGGTTTAGCAAAGATGAACTGACTTTTTATTTCTAGTCTTTTTATATTCACTTCATAAACCCTGGGGTTAAGCTCTTAAGCTGCCAGAGGGACTACCCTGTAATGGCCAGTCAGACCTTTACTGCCAAAGAACCCATTTCTTACTGAGTTCCACTTTTGAGATTGACTCAGACCCCTGCACTGGAGATGAATATGTGTCTCAGTGCTGCCCCCAGCCCTAAGGATTTCTAATTATATTCAAATATCATAGTGGTTTGCCTTCATCATTGCAAACAATTTAATTATGCTAATGGGGTTTACTTACAAATGAGCAAAAAGTCACTTTATTTTCATTAGTGTAGTATGTGGAGGAACTGATTCAACAGGATGGCTCCAAAACTGTGTTTTTCTAATGTTTTTGGTGAGGGGCTGACAGGAATTTTAATGATAGAGTGAAGAAAAACATATATCTGTATAATTAATTTATTTCGCTGGTGTATGGGCTGTGAGTTCACCCGTTAGTGGTCATTTGTCATTTCATAACAACTATGCATTTGGTTCACTGTGATGATGATCTATATCTAGTGACTGCAACATGTTTATACCACTGATTCAAATTCCATCCATGATGAAGTTATACAAACAATGCATATATTGATATCTTTTATTGCAAAATGTAAATTTAAAACTTGTATAATGTTCTTGTGCTTTTTGAAATAAAATATCTTATATGTGTATATTTACAAAGAAAAAAGGGACTTCTCATGTTTGGGGATTTGGGTTTGAAGTATAAAAATCTGTACCTAGAAAGGAGCTCTAATTAAATGTTACCTCTGCCAGCCCAGACAAATTTTTTAAAACACATAGATATTGGGGCGCCTGGTTGGCTCAGTCGGTTAAGCATCTGCCTTGGGCTCAGGTCATGATCTTGGGGTCCTGGGATGGAGCCCTGCATTGGGCTCCCTGCTCAGTGGGGAGCCTGCTTCTCCCTCTCCCTCTGCCTGCCGCTCCCCCTGTTTGTGCTCTCTCTGTCTCTCTGACAAATAAAAATCTCTTTAAAAATAAAATAAAAGACACAGGTATTCAGTGTAATGGTCTCCAAACTTTCTGACCATACATTCCATCAGTAAATAATTTTTAAGCATGCACTATACATATAGAGAGAGAATTTTTTATATTCAGTACAGTACTAATGTATTAAGTACATTATAAATGATTGCCCAAAAATGGGGGTTTAAAAAATCAGCTGAAAAATAGAATATTTCTATTTAAAAACCTCCAAGTGAATCTATGCATCTCTTTGGGTATGTACACTCCATTGTGGACACAACTGTCTAGAGCAACACTGTACAGGAGAACTCTGCAATGATGGCAGTGTTCTCTATTTGCACTCCAATATGATAGTCACTGTCCCCATGCAGCTGTTGAACTTTTCGAAATGTGGCTAGTGCAACTGAGGACCTGAATTTTTTATTTCATTTAGTTTTAATTAAGCTTAAATCATCATGTGTGGCTAGTAGCTACTATATTGGACAGCATAAATCTAGTTAATGGTTCTCAGACTTGACAGTGTTAGAATCACCTAAAGAGCATTAACAAAATATAAATTTCCAGATTTCACCCTTGATCCTGAATCAGAATCTCCTGAGATTGAGCCTTTACAAAACCATTATGATCTCCTGTTTCTAAACCATTACCCTTAAATTTTAGAGCTTGCTTTCTTTTTATCTCAGTGATTTTAGTCTATGTGCCAAAGAGCCTCAGAGAGGAAAGTAGATCAGAGAGGGGGAAAAGTGCCAAACTTGGATAGTTGTGATATTTCATTGTGAGTTTCTGTGTAAGCTTTCATTTAAGGAAAGGGTAGCTAGAGTTAAAACAAAAAGTCATTGCTTTAGTTTTAAGATTTTACAATATTCTGGGAGGGTAGTAGCACTGAAGGCAATGAAGAAAGTGTTTGGTTATGAAAATACAAGGCACTTGGAATTAGCAGGAAGAGGTCACTATGGAGTCTTCTCCATACTTATATTAGAGTAGCTGGGCACTACTAGGAAAAACAAGTCATACAACCATGCAAATTTTCACAATTTGCTTTAAAATTTAAAACTTCTGGGACACCTGGGTGGCTCAGTCTGTTACATCTTTAGTCTTGATTTCAGCTCAGGTCAGGATCTCAGAGTTGTGAGATCAAGCCCCGCGTCAGGCTCTGCACTGGGGATGGAGCCTGCTTTAAGACTCTCTCTCCTTCACCCTCTGCTCCTCCCCACCCATGGGAGCGAGTGCTCTCTGTCTCTCTTTCTCTTTCCCTCCCTCCCTTTTAAAATTAAAACTTACGTACAACAAAGAGCACCATTAGTAAAAAGATATCCAGAGTTAAGTGGTATAATCACCTCAAGAGTACAGCTTCTGAATTTCCTCAAAATTCTTCTTGAAAACCATATACACTAACCAGGATAACAAAAGAAAAAACCCAAAGTTTAACAAAACAAGGCAACAGGAAATCTCCATGAACTCCCAAGTATGGGCAGATATATTCAAAGCACCAACAGCAGCAGAGGGCTGTGCAGTGGAAGTGGTGGAAAGTGAAAGGGGAAACTGAGTAAGAGTTGCAGAACTGGCGGCGCCTGGCTGGCTCAGTCAGTTAAGGGTCTGCCTTCAGCTCAGGCCCTGATCCCAGGGGCCTGGGATTGAGTCCCATGTCAGGCTCCCTGGTCATCGGGGAGCCTGCTTCTCCCTCTCCCCCCTTGTTCCTACTCTCTCTCGCCACCTCTCTCTCTCTCTCTCTCAAATAACTAAATAAATAAAATCTTAAGAAAAAAAAGTTGCAGAAGTGAGAAATTGCTAACCACCCTCGAGTGGGAAGAAACCCATTCAATAGAAAAAATGGACACTCAGGACTGAGAATTACCAGCAGAACTAACCGAAGTCCTCACATGCTGTGAGCATGGGTGAAAACCTGCTCAGTCTTGAGAGAATCAGACAAGGTGCCGGCATTCTAAATCCTCTACATTCTTATAAATAACCATTAAATACTGCCTTCATTACAGAAAGAGCCTCACCCCATAGAAAACTGCTAAAAACAAACCAGACTGAGAATGGCAGTAATACTATGGGTAAGAGAGAAAGTTCAGATTGTATGCAAAATGGATGAAAGACCTAAATGTGAGATGGGAACCCATCAAAATCCTAGAGGAGGGGGCCTGGGTGGCTCAGTTGGTTAAGCAACTGCCTTCGGCTCAGGTCATGATCCTGGAGTCCTGGGATCGAGTCCCGCATCGGGCTCCCCGCTCAGTGGGGAGTCTGCTTCTCCCTCTGACCCTCTTCCCTCTCGTGCTATCTCTCATTCTCTCTCTCTCAAATAAATAAATAAAATCTTTAAAAAAAA